ATGATATGAACTTTCCTCTTATGACCACTTTTGACCTGTCCCAAAAGTTTTGATATGTTGTACTATCATTATCATTCTTTTCTATGTATCTTTGATCTCTCTTTTTATTTCTTCTCTCACCCAGTTATTCTTTAGTAGAATGTTGTTTAATCTCCATGTATTTTTGATTCTTCCTGATTTATTTTTGTAGTTGATCTTTAGCTTCAAAGCATTATGATCAGAGAATATGATTGGTATGATTTCAACCCTCTTATATTTGTTGAGGCTATCTCTGTGTCCCAATATGTGGTCGATCCTTGAGAATGTTCCATGTGCACTACAGAAGAATATATAAGCAGCTGTTTTGAGATGGAAGGCTCTGTATATGTCAATTATGTTCAGTTGGTCTAATGTGTCATTGTTGAAAGGCTCTGTAAATGACAATTATGTCCAGTTAGTCTAATGTGTCATTTAAGGATGTTATTTCCTTATTGATTTTCTGTTGGAATGATCTGTGCATATCTGACAGTGAGGTATTTAGGTCTCTTACTACGATAGTGTTTTTGTCTGTTTCTTCCTTTAGTTCTGTTAGTAATTGCTTTATATATGTCGGGGCTCCCTGATTGAGAGCATGGATATTAATAAGTGTTATGTCTTCTTGGTGCATGATTCCCTTTATCATTATGAAGTGTCCCTCAGTACCTTTTTTATTTTGAAGTCTAGTTCGTCTGATATTAGTACCACTACTCCCACTTTTCTCTGAATGCCATTTGCTTGAAATATCATTTTCCACCCTTTCACTTGAGTCTATATTTGTCTTTAGAGCTGAGATGTGTCTCTTGGAGGCAGCATATGGTTAGGTTTTGTTTTTTGATCCAATCTTCAAGTCTGTATCTTTTTATTGGTTTGTTCAGTCCATTTAAATTTAGGATGATTATTAAAATATGAGGTCAACTAAAAGCCATTTTATTTTTTGCTTTCTAGTAGCTTGATGTTTCCATTGCTTCTTTGTCCTTGTGTTTCTGTTTTCTTTATTTTGGTTGTCTTTTGTGGGTTTTTCCTCTGGTCCTTCTTGTTTTATGTTACATACTGTAGTTCTGAATCTTTGGTGTCTTTACCATTATTAATATGTAAAGGATAGTAATACATATACAGTCGTCCATTTTCTTCTGTGTGTGCCTTATCTCTATTCCTCTTTGTAAATTTGGATCTATGAATCTTCCCCTTTTCAGTCATTGTTGTCTCAATTTGTTCCTATATATGTTGAACGTTCATTACTATCCTGTTCTTAATAAGAGTTGCACTCTTCTGCTTCTATCTGACTGCTTGCTAGTCACCTTATTCCTAATTATGTTTTCTTTTTTTTCATATTGTTTTAGGTGACCTGACCCCTTTCAGTATTTCCTGTATGCATGAGTAGTACTAGAGAATTCCCTCAATTTTTGCATATCTGGAAAGGTCTTTATTTCTCCTTCATAGCTAAAGAAGAGCTTAGCTGGATACATTGTTCTTGGTTGGTAGTTCCTTTCGCTTAATAGTTTGAATATTGGTTTCCACTCCTTTCTGGATTGTAAGGTTTATGCTGAGAAGTCCAATGATAATCTAATAGGTTTTCCTTTATAAATTACCCTCTTCTTTTCCCTGCCTGCCCTGAGAATTCTGTCTTTGTCACTGATTTTTGATAATTTTAATACAATGTGTCTTGGAGATGGCCTTTTTGGGTTGAGATAATTGGGTATTTTGTTGACTTCTTGAATTCTAAGCTCCAGTTCATTCCTTAGATTTGGGAAATTCTCGTCAATATTTTGTCTGAAAATGCTTTCTAATCCCTGCTCCTTTTCCTTCCCTTCGAGAATGCCCATTATCCTTATGTTTCCTCTCCTGATGGTATCAGCTAGTTCTTGTATTTCTCTTTCATTATTTTTCATTCTTCGGTTTCTGTCTTATTCCTTCTGATTTATTTCTAGATTTCTGTCTTTGATATCACTGATCCTTTCCTCCATTTGGTCCACTTTATTTTCCAAGCTTCCTATTTTTTTTTTTTCAACTCTAACAATTTGTTCTTTATATCCAGAAGTTCTGTTTGGCTCTATTTGAGGGTTTCAGTCTCCTTGCTAAAGAACTCATTTTGCTCATCTAGTTGTTTTTTCAATTCCTGAATTTGTTGATATGAATCATTTCAGATCTCATTGAGTTCTTTCAGAAGTACTATTCCGAAGTCTCTGTCATTTAAGTTGCATATTTCTATGTCTATAAGCTTATTTTCTGGAGATTTGTCTCTTTCTTTCTGACATGCCTTGTCACCTTATTTATTCATGGTATTTAATGGACTATTTCTCTGCCTGGGCATTAATGGAAGTGTATTCTGCTGTTTTTCCAGGAAGAAGATTTATTATATAAAGGTCTCTCTTTAGCTTGTGGTAGTACTTATGCATAGATCTTATGCTTCGATGTGCTGGTGTGTAGTTTGGGTGTTTTTGTTGAGTTTTAGATGTTTAGCTTGTTGTTGTTTCAAGGGGAGAGATCTGGAGATGTCTCTCACTCTGCCATGTTTCTGGCATCACTCTAATGCTATTAACTTGAGCTATCTGAATCATCATACGGAACATCTCACATCATGAATTGTATCATAGATCTTCTTTGAGATGTCCACAAATTGATTATCGTCAAACACATCAAAAGCATTTTTATTTAAGGCTTACTTCCAAGGCAACATTCACTTGTGTTACAAACTCAGGAATTGCCACAGCTCCATGTGTTCAACATTCTGAAAGATACAATTGTCAAATATTTGATTTAACTCTGTCCTAGCTTTTAAAATTACTTCTTGAAATTCTGATAATAATCTAAAGGAGTAATCTTTATGAGTGACCATTTTTTTCCCCTCTTGGCTGCCTTGAAAATTTTTTTTTTTTTGTCATCGATTTTGACCATTTTAATATACTGTGACTTGAGAAGGCCTTTTTAGATTGAGATAATTAGATGTTCTGTTTGTTTTTTGGATTTGAAGATTCCCTCTCTCTCTCTCTCTCTCTCTCTTTTTTTTTTTGACAGGTTCGGGTAATTCTCATCAGTTATTTGTTTGAATTAGCTCTCTGTTTTCTTTCTTTCTTCTCCTCTGGTATTCCCATTACTCTTCTATTGTTTTTTTTTTTTCCTGTTGGTGTCAGATAATTTTTGTAGAGTTCTTTAATTGTTTTCACTCTCAAGTCTCTCTCTTTCTTCATTTGTATCATTTCCAGATTTCTGTCTTTGATATCACTAATTCTTTCCTTCATCTGGTCAGCTCTGTGTTCCCAAGCTTCCTATTTCATTTTTCATATCTTTTAGTGAGTTCTTCATCTCCAGAAGTTTTATTCGGTTCTTTTTTATAGTTTCAATTTCCTTGGTATTCTTGTTGTTCATTGATTTTGTTTCTAAGCTTATTAAACTGCTTATCAGAACTTTATTGCATCTTGTTGAGTTTTCAGAAGTGCAAACTTGAATTCTCTATCATTTAAAACATATATTACTAAGTCTTTAAATTTATTTTCTGGATATTTTTCATTTCCTTTCTGAGCTTCTTTGTTACTTTGGTTGTTTGATGGACTATTTCTTTGCCTAGGCATTCATAGGAATTTAATCTGCTTTTTTTTTTAAAAAAATAAATTTATTATATAGTGATCTCTTTTTTGCAGGTTGATTAGAAGAGGTTTTTCTTTTGATTTCCAGTTGGTGGCGCCAAAGCGTCCTGCACTACATATGCCTGCTGAATCTCTGCTATGAGGTTAAAAATGACCTTTATTCTCTGCACAAGTGTTTGTCTCCTTTGTGACCATATGGCTTCGGTCCTAGGTCTCCTCTCCTGCAGGAGAAAGTGAAGGACAATGAGGTTCCGAGCCTCTTAAAAGGATCTGAAGTCTTTGTACTGTCCCAACAGTCAGAAGCAATGCTTTACTGTCTCTTTCCAATTCAGCCTCAATGGGTGGAGGTTTGGGAGAGAGCCGTTGCGGCTGTTTTTCATTCAGTAATCTGACCTTCAGACTCTGTATTTCTGTGGGACCGGATGCAGTGTATGTTTCAGTTCTGGTTGCACAAATTCTTCTGGAGCTCTGTTGTAGCTCTGGGAGGGTACACAGTGGAGGGTAAGCTCTGAGAGGTGGCCAGTCTCCATGTCTCAGCTTTCTGCATGGCAATGGTGGTTACTAAGACTCAGCTGTCGCCTCCCCATGCTTGGTCTCTGCCCCGCTCTCTGCCCTGATTACTGGGCTCTGCTGTGTGGAATACGATGATAATTCAGGCAAGACTGTTCAGGGCTTTAATGAGCGAAAAACCACCATGTAATTTCCCCCTCCTCCTCGTCCTACAGGGAGGGCACTCTGGGCTACATTCCACAGGACATATCTTTGTTTCTTTCCTGTCTTGTGCAGTTGGCCTACCTTCAGATACTCTGATATACAGATCTTTCAAACATGCTTGTGTGCTGGTTAAATGTTATCTTTTGGATTGTAGATTCCAGCTTGTAATTTCAAGGGGAGAGTTCAGGGGAAATCCCTCACACCGCCATGCATCTGACATCACTCATTTTGATTTATTTGAAGATAGAACAAGGTCTATATTCTGGCACTATCTATGTTTTCTAAGCATTACTTTTCATCAAGTTTGACAAAAACTGAAAACCAAAAAGATTTCAGGTATCAGGGAAACAAGTGTTTTGCTTCTGTTTAGAAGGTAGAACAGTTCTACTATGACATTTTATAATGAAAGTGCCTATTCTCACCATAGCAAATCAAGGCCTCTGCCTATGTGATGTGACACTTCTTTAAGGTGAACTTACAGGGTTAGGTACAGACCACACATGTGCAAGTATTTTGTTATCAAGTAGGATGTTATTACATTTAAGCCAGGACAGATTTGGGGTGGACTGTTGGCATGAGTTTTCGGTAACACTTCCTATGGAAGAGAGAGCTCTTAGGCTGGTTGACACTTTGTTGATCATTGTGAAAGTCACAAACATGTGATTTTCCCATTCTTCTTTCTAGATTCTCACCAGAGACTCTGTGACTACACAAGTGGATGGAGTCGTCTATTATAGAATCTATAGTGCTGTCTCAGCAGTGGCTAATGTCAATGATGTCCACAAAGCCACATTTCTGCTGGCTCAGACCACTCTGAGAAATGTCTTAGGGACACAGACTTTGTCCCAAATCTTAACTGGCCGAGAAGAGATTGCCCACAACATCCAGGTAAAGATACTGGGAATTAATAGCCTGCTTCTTTAATTCATTCATTTTAGTTATTGGTGATTACCAAATATCAGCAGTTCAAAGTGCCCCCATGTATACACACAGACACAAGTAGACACACACACAGCTAATCTTAACAGATGGGCTCTGCTTGTGATTTCATTTTTTTAATAATCAGGAGGTATAGATATAAATATCTGAGTGGGAGAAGGACTCTGTTGAAATTGGTCACCATATACATTTTCTTTGGGATTTAAAATTATGAATTAACATTGCATGCTTTAGCTTTTTCTGAAAAGGTTAGAGATCAGATTTATTTTTTAGTCTAGATTACTCCAGCAGTATCTCTATTTTTTAACCATCATATATTTCTACATTTCAGTGGAGTGTGAAAGTTAGAAGAGGATTCAATTCAGATAGGACAGGCTTGTCATCTCAGGAAAACCTTATATTATGCTACCAATATCATAATGATAATATTGATGAAGATGTACAGGTATCCATCCTACTTCTTGCACACCCTAGTTTTTAGACAATCACATTTCTCTATTTTCCTAAATAAATTAAATTTTTATTCTGAGTCTCCCTAGTGTAAGTTAGGGGGGAAATTCAATTTGGGTCCTTCTTGGCATCTCCAGTCCATAAGGTAGCTAAGGCCCGAAGGTTTTATGAGATAATATTGGTTCCACATAATAACTCTCCATATCATTTTTGTAAGAGCCTTGTGCTTTTGATAACTTATATTTTTCTTTGGCCACAGTTAGGTCATTAGCTTCTTGTGAGATCTCACCATGTCCTGCATTTTGCCGGGATCATGGAAAGGCAAAGGTAACTTGCCATTTTGTAGCACAGAGGGTTCTGACTCCTCCCCTTCGAGGGGAACTATCCATTTGATCTCACACTATTTCTCAAGACATTCTTTATCATCTCTTCCCCCTCCAGATAACCAGCAAAATATCTTCAATGGTTTTAATCTTTTACAAAGGACAAGAAGATCTTTGACTTTAGGCTATGTCTGCTCTAAAAATATGTCTTGCTACCTGTTTAAAACTGGCCACAAGACAGAAGTTAAACAGAGCAAGACAAATAGTATTTCAGAAAGATCCAATAAAAATATTTATTGAGTCATTATTAAGAACTGGTAGATATCTTACATGTATTATCTCTAAACCTCATGACAATCCTGAAACTGAACCTAGCAATTTTATTGGTGGAAAAACTGAGAATCAGAGAGGTTGAGTAACTGGCCCAATGATTCGCAGCTGCAAATGGCAGAGCCAGGACAAAATCCAGGTCTGTCTGAAAAGCTCATGCATTATTGCTTGCCTGATGTCAGTGATGAGTAAATTTGGGATATTTGTTCAAATCTAGGTAGATAAACTATACTTTATTAAGGATGTTTTTGGAGTGAATCCTGCTGGGATGCCACCCACTAAAAGATCCATCAAGTTTTCTTCCTGAATCCTTTCTGAGATTCACTTCAATCTCAAGAAATGAACAGTAAGGATGCTAACTCTTACTGCCTTCCCAAATTGTCTCATTCAAATACTAAAAATACAAAAGAAGAAAAGTAGAGGACTTTATTCTTTCAAATATACACCATATCTGAAATACATATCCTATAACTGTTTTAATGGTCAACGTTTTTTTCTCTTGATTTGGAAACAGACCTTACTTGATGATGCCACTGAGCTTTGGGGGATCTGGGTGGCCCGAGTGGAAATCAAAGATGTCCGGATTCCTGTGCAGTTGCAGAGGTCCATGGCAGCTGAAGCTGAGGCCACTCGGGAAGCCAGGGCCAGGGTAAGGGCTACGGTGTTTACACTGGAGGACAAGCTGCCTATCCTTGGAGCAGACAAGAATAGAGCTTGGATGACAGATCTGGCTCTGTCAATTCTTTTGATAAGAAAAAGGGTTTTTTTCTCCTACAGGTTTGCCTGAGAATTTTCCTTTGAATTAGAAGGTAATTTGGAACTTAGTGTACCTCAAGGAATCTTGTACATGTCTTATGTCAAGGGAGTACTCAGCAAGTTGCTTAGTTGCTTGGAAATGTGGGTTCCAACTTTGGTGACACATTAGAGTCTCCTAGAGAAAATTGAACTAAGCAAACACCAGTTCCTAAGCACCATCTCAGATTCTGTGATACAGTCTTGGGTGGGCCAAAGAACCCACATTTTATAAAGCTGGTGGTTCCAACGTAGCCAACTTGCTGCCTCTATTTTGAGTATCATCATTCCAGTACGTTAAGTGTTCTAGAAAAAAAAAGGCAGAGGTGATTAACTACAATCCAGGATAGAGTTACAAAATGTAAGTATACTCTGGCCTCCAGTATTCTTTCCTCTGTTGGATTTATAGCCTCATGTCTGTGTGGATGGGTTTCCTGAAGTATCAGAAACCAATTAAGATTAGAAGTCTTTCTTGTACCTTCTTTGGTATCTTATTGTGAACCAGTGAAGGTTTTCTCTTCATTCCTTACCTATTTCTGGTTTATCTGCTAAGCTCTAGCAGCTTCCAGGCAATGGACTTAGCCATGACAAACTGGAGGATGCTTTCTTACACAGGCACTGGGTGCCCACAGTTGGGGCAGCTTGGACTATCTGAGAACTAGAAGAGAAACAGTGTACATAAGAGATTTCCAATGAGTGTTTTCAGACTGGCACTTGCTGCTATTTGTAATCAAGAGAAGAGAAAACTTGAAACAATTCTTACTTTGTAAGAATGAGACTAAGTTGGCAACAGAATGAAATGAAAACCTCTCCTATGATAAATAAAGTCAATAGAAAAAAGCCAGGTGGAGACCTTGAATTTCAGACTTCTTTGAAAACTAGTGCAGCAGAAGTGAAGCTCTAAAGTGATTCCAGAGTATTACTGAGGTGGATGGCTCTGTATTCATTTAGGTTAAAGATGATGATTTTATTTTGCTTGAAATTGAAATCTAGGGACTCATACTTTGTAAACTACCTCCGTACTTCCTGTGACCCCTCAAATTTCTCTAATTACATTAGGATGTGAAACTTTTGTCCTTGCTGAATAAGTGAATAGATATGGCAAAGTGGGACTGGGAAGAAGATATCAGTATGCAACCAGAAAAAGAAAACACTAGTCACAGTTGTAAACTTATTTCTAAACAGTTTTATTTTTGTTGTTTTAGGTCCTTGCAGCAGAAGGAGAAATGAATGCTTCTAAATCTATGAGGTCAGCTTCCATGGTGCTGTCTGAGTCCCCCATAGCCCTCCAACTGCGTTACCTACAAACCTTAACCACTATAGCCACAGAGAAGAATTCCACCATCATATTTCCTTTGCCCATAAACATACTAGAGGGTATTGGTGGTGTCAACTACAATAACCATCAGAAAGTTTCTAACAGATCCTGAGGTCCTCCTGCTATAACCAGCCATTGCTTAGGGAGTCATGTCTATTCCAGTGAAAAACCAGCAAGTAAAAGTGTTGATAATTTCAACACTATTCAAGCAGAGTAACTCCACAGCTGGAGTAGTAGTATTAGAGAAATGCTATAGAGGCTATAACAAATGAACAAACAAATGAACAAACAAACAAACAAAAAAGCCAAAACGAGGGCTGTGTACTACTTTTATTTTTAAGAATATAAATAACTTTGCATTGTTCTTATAATAATCAATTAGTAGCTGTCCTTTACTTATAGCAGAAACTCTCTTGCAGTAAGGGGAAGAAATCCTTGGGTGATTATGACTAAGATTTGCTTTTTAATTGTTTTAAAAAAGAACTCTAGATAATATGTAAAGTAAGATAGGCCTCATATTTATACTAGATATTTGATTTATAATTCCAAAGTAATATTTGCTAAATCTCCAAGAATTACAATCAACCTCTACAATTCTTAAAATTATGATGGATTTTGATGCAAAAGATTAAACAGGCACTGAGGCTTTCAGTTGCAAACATCATTAATTCCCCAGAGCAGACTGCTTTCAGCTTTCTTACTGCATGTCCTCTTGCTGGGAATAATGGTCAATTCTGAACCCCCCAGCACCTTTGTCAGAGGGTGAGACAAGGTACAGCGAAACAGATTCCAGTCAGTTTATTTTCTTATCAGTGAGAATACTTGCAAAAGATTTTGTAGGCACAAAAAAAATTGTTTTTAAACTTTATTCTCCTCCAAAACAAAAACAAACACAGGAAAAACAAAAACCAAAACCCAAAAAACCCTGTTAAAAATAAAGAAGCCATAGAATGTAGACGTGATGTATTTAAAAAAGCTGCTTTGTCAGAGATTATTTTCTTGCTATGGTGAATTTTTATTTTGGGGTCCATTTTGAGCAATGGGATAGACTTTTTAAGTTACCGTTTAAGTTACCATTGAACGTTACACTGTGCTCAGCCCTGTATGGATGCTAAGAAGTATACTTATTTTACAGATGAGAAAGTGATGTCAAAAGGTTAAATAACTTGTCCAAGGTCCCTCAGGTAGTGAATGTAAGGTTAAGATTTAAAACCAGGTCTGACTCCAAGGTTCTTGCTCTTAAACTTGGGGGAGGTGGGAGGGGAAGGGGATAGGGCCCTTCCATGCCATTTTTGCCTTCAATTCCAAACCTTTAGGTTCTGGAGGTATGAGAGTTCCACTGTGTCCAAGATTGTGATAGCATGCATACACATGCATGTGCACACTTCTCACACACTTCACATTCTTTTGCATACTCCGCATGTACTCCTCATGTACCCCCTCCCCATAACACCTACTCCCCGCATACCCCTACCTCTGCTCATATCTCATCCATGTATTCCCCTCACACACACCTTTTCACCACATAAATATTATCTGCATATAAATGCAAAATGGGAAACATACTCCACCTTTTTATTGTAACCTCTTTTTTTCCTGGTGAAATCATATTATACTTGATATGATTTTTGAACAAGCCACAGCTTATGAATCTTTTAGTAAATTATACTGACTCTATGAGTCTAACATTAATTTCTGACCTGCCTAGGTTTATATGTATTTTTAATAGGCGGAATACTTGCATTTTAATAAAAATAGAGGACAGACAAAAACTTATAGCGCATCCACATCAGCCAGAATCTGAATCTATGAAGTCATACCATGAAGGCATTCAACCAGTGACCCTCTATATTATGAATAGTGGTGTGGAGAATTGCTGAGGTACCTGTGGCATTGACCATCACCTGAGGAGGGAAGCTCTACTTTTACAAGATTTGGCCTACTGCAAAAATCTCTTCCTAGCCTATTGGAGAAATCTATAATTATTCCCTGTTTTGGTTTTCATGATTACACTAAAAATGCAAATTTTTCCTGTCAGTGTACAGCAAACTGTAAACTAATGGTTCTCTCTGGAGGTCATTGTTCTCTCACTCACTGAAAGCCCTTTTTCAAAAGCACAGACCCCTTGAATCCCCAGGGTAGGAAGGAGGGTGTGACAGTTATATTGGAATATCTCTGATAAGCTTGGTGGCATGAGAGGTCTCCTTGATTTCTCCCTTTGAAATTACAATAATCGGAATAGCTACAATCCAGCAGAAAACACCTAGCCTAGTCCACAAACATGGCTGAGAGATCCACTCATCAGAGCATCTGAAGGTGGTTGAATCAGACTAGCAAGAGAGGAGGAAAGGTAGAGGAGCAGAGACCGTTGCTAGAGGTGCAGCCCAGAGCTCTTTGTATGATGCAGGTAGAGGAGGGAATTAGGTGGCAGTTTGTACTCTCTGTAACCTCAAGGATTCCTGCCTGTGTGATCACCATATACCACATGGCAGAGCCCAGTGATCAGGGCAGAGACAAAATATAGATGGGCGACAGCTGTGTTTTAGCAACTGACATTGCCAGGCATAAAGCTGAGTCATGGAGCCTGGCTACCTCCCCACACCCTTCCAGAGCTTGCCTCCCTATACCCTCCCAACATTGCAACATCAAGTACACCAGGAACTGAGGGGATGCACACTGAGGTTGGTTCCAGTGGCAGGGGGGAAGAAATAGCTGTCAGGCAGCTGAAGCATAGAGGCCAGTATTACTAGAAGGAAAATAGCCACAGACACACTGACAGCATCTTCTAACCCACCCCACACCCACCTATCCAGGCCGATTTGAAGGGAAGCAGCAAAACACTGCATCTGGCTGCTGAAGTAGTACTGAGACTTGAGCTCATCAGAGGCTCAGATTCCCATCAACCATTACATTTTCCCATGGGGGTAATGCCCTAGGACTGGGGCAACCTGGTTACAGAGGATACACATAACTCTCCAAGGAATAAAGAGGGGTGTGTGTGTGTGTGTGTGTGTGTGTGTGTGTGTGTTGTGTAATTTTTTTTTTTTTCCTGCAAAGCAGAGATCAAGGAGGCCTGAGCAGTGCAGGAGGCTTGTGCGCCACCTACTGGAAAACGAAAGAAAAACTTCTTATCAACCCGCTAGAGAGATCATGCTAAATAATATTTTTTAAAAGCAGAGTACATTCCCATGAATGCCTAGGTGAAAAAATAGCCATAAAATACCATGAACATCTAGGATGACAAACAGCTCATAAGATAATTAAAAAATCTCCGGAAAATAAACTTACGGATATAGAAATATATGATTTAAATGACAGAGTATTCAAGATTGCACTTCTGGAAAAAAAAAACTCAATGAGATGCAAGAAAATTCTGATCAACAGTTCAATGAATTCAGAAACAAAATAAATGAACAACAAAAATACTTTATCATAGAGATTGAAACTCTAAAAAAGAACCAAATAGAAATTCTGAAGATGAAGAACTCATTAAAAAAGATGAAGAATGAAGTAGCAAGCTTAGGAATAGAGCTGACTAGATTAAAGAAAGAATTAGTGATATCGAAGACAGAAATCTGGAAATGATGCAGATGGAAAAATAGAGAGACTTAAGAGTGAAAAACAAAAAGAACTCTACAAGAACTATCTGACACCATCAGAAAAAGCAATATAAGAATAATGGGTATACCAGAAGGAGAAGAGAGAGTGAAGGAAAGAGAGAGCCTATTCAAACAAATAGTCCATGAGAATTTCCAAAATCTATGGAAAGAACTGGGTCCTCGAATTCAAGAAGCAAGCAGAAGACCTAATTATCTCAATCCAAAAAGGCATTCTCCACCCCCCGCCAAAAAAAAAAAAAAAACCCAAACCAAAAAGGCTTTCTCCAAGACACATTATATAAAATTGTCAAAAATTAACGACAAAGAAAGAATTCTCAAGGCAGACAGGGAAAAGAAGACTGCAACCTATAAATGAAAACTCATTAGATTATTATTGGACTTCTTAGCAGGAACTTTACGAGCTTGGAGGGAGTAAAATCAAACATTCAAATTAACAAAAAGAAAAAAATTATCAGCCAAAAATAATATATCCAGCAAAGTTCTCTTTTAGATATGAAGAAACAAAGACCTTTTCAGACATGGAATCTGAGGGAATTTTCTAGCACAAGACCTGCATTATAGGAAATAATGAATTCAAACAAAAGGACAAGAAAAAAATACAAATCTATGAGTAGGATGAGTAACAGACAGACAGAAACAGGAAATTGCAACCCTTAATTAAGGACAGGGTTTATAAACTTAAATATTACATAATGGTTAAGGGTCAAAAATATTTTAAAAAGAAAAGAAGTTAATAGCTACTGCAACTCAGAAATGAACTCACAACATAAATAGAAATAATTTGAGACAAAAAAAGGGGAGTGAACAAATGTCTGAATCTGCAAAAGAGAATGCATATAATACACATGTAGATGAAAAAGGACCATTGCATATATGAAACTATCTTTTACATAAAATTAATTGTAATCATACACAAGAAATCCAGAATTGAGATACATAACATAAAACAAGAGAGAACAGAGGGAAAAGTTATAGAATACCACCAAATTAAAATAAGAGTAGCAAAACGACAAAGAAACCATGGAGATCCCAAGCAAGCAGAAAACAAAAGATAAAATGGGTATAGGAAAAACTTATATATCAATATTCACCCTCAATGTACGGAGACTGAACTCATCAATTAAAAGGCACAGAGTAGCAGATTGTATCAAAAAACAAAATACAACCATATGCTGCCTTCAAAAGACACATCTCAGCTGCAAGGACAAATATACTCAAAGTGAAAGGGGAAAAAAATATTCTAAGCAAATGGCATCCAGAAAAAAGCAGGTGTAGCCGTATTTAATCTGATAAAATAGGCTTCAAAATAAAAAAAGGCAACAAGAGACAACGAAGGACACTTCATAATGATAAAGAAGACATAACACTTATCAATACTTATGCTCCCAATCAGGGAGCACCAAAATATATAAAGTGACTACTAACAGAACTAAAGAAAGAAACTGACAAAAACACCATTATAGTAAGGCACCTGAATACCCCCACGGACTGCTATGGATAAAT